CGGCGTGCCCCTTCCGAGGACGAAGCGCAGCCCTGGCGACAGCCTGCAGCCCCGGGGAGGGGGTCGCTGCGCCCGTCTGGCTGCTGGCCGCCCGCTGCTTCAGGCTTTGCAGGCAGTCTGGCTCCGACACCCCAGCTCTGGGTCTCGGGCTGCACTTCTTCTGCTTGCCCCCTTCCCAGGGGAAGGAAAGGAGCCAAGAAGGGTTTTTCAGGGGTATCCAGTGTTGTTCAGTGGGGTGTTGGATCTCAGCACGTGCCCCAAAACAGGGTTTGTGTTGATTTCCCATGACAGCACAGCCAGAGGAGGACGTTGATTGTGACACGAGCTCCAGCCTCCATTACTGGACCCGGTGTTGCACATCAGGCCCTGTAAGCTCAGCACGTGGCTCATCCTTGCATCAGAGAGGAATCCCACGCGGTAAGGTGGGGCCTCTCTTGTCTCATCCTTCCTTCTTGCTCTCCTGAGAGGACTCAGCTGCAGCCCTGTAATACCCACATCAGTCTCTGCCCACCTTCCAGCACTGAGCGCAGCCCTCATTCACCTCCCACTCAGGACTGCTGCTGCAGGATGTGTATTTGAACTCCTTGGGCTGGCTGTACAAGCTGGGTTTGTTCCTAAAGGGGTGTTGGTGGACACATGGTCAGCTCCCAGGGAACACATTCAACATGCAAATGCCAGTATCACAGTTGGCCATAGCCGTCCCTCTTTGTTTCCAGAGAGACAAAAGAGAAAGTGGGTCTTGGAGACTGGCGGGTGGGGAAGAGCTGATGGTACCAGAGGTAACATGGCATGGGGAATAGCATTAAAAGGAGAATATTAATCTCTCCCATTGCAGTCTGCAAGGTGAAAGCATAGGCATGGACTAACATCGCTGGATAGGTTCACAGCACATTGACCTCATTTCCTGACCCCTGATTCTACAGGAGGTACAGCCCCAAATCCATGTGCCCCCCTGTTTTATTGCAGCCCTTGAGCACAGAAGTTATCCTGGTGCTACTTTCCATTTCAGCTAAAACTGCTAAGGAAGGAAGCAAACAGCCAAGGCCAGCTGCACAGAGATTAGCTCTTTGATTTGCTGCAGATGACTTGCTCTGTTTATCACAGCTTATCACAGCTGTGGGATATTTCCCCCCCCCCCATGGTTTTTGCAGAGATTGGCTCAGAAGGGCAGGAGGCTGGGCTTGCTTCAGCTCTGTGTGTGGTAGCGGCTTTCTGGCTAGGGATGCAGGCACAGTGAAAATGTGATCTGTGAAGAAGAGAGAGTGCTTCAGAGTCAGACACAGCAGGTTCAGGGCTGTGAAAAACACCTGCCAAAGCCTTGTCCGTTCCCGTGTTTTGTAGTTTCTTTAACTACCGTGCTGAAAATAAGCCACAAAAGGAAGCTGTGGTTCATACAGGCTCTGAAAGATCTCGGTTTACCAGATGTATAAGTAGCATTTTTACCACTTGGTAAACTGGGGGCAAAGGGCATAAAGAGTTGTATTAATGGTTCTTAAACTTACAGGGACACTGGGAGAGGTAGGGCTGGAGCCTGCATTGCTTGACTCCTAGGCCAGGATTAAGTTGTGGTCCTGGCTTGGAAATGAGCAGCCGGCCGGGTTCAGACGGGGTGAGTAAGCAATGCTGAAGTCGTTGGGTTACTCTAGCAACTGCCCTGTAGCTCTTGTAGCTGTGCAGGGCAGGGGGCAGGGTTGGTGCAGCCCTGTGGCTACAAGCAGCATCACTGCTTCCCTAGGGAGTTCTGCAGTCTGGCAGGGTGTTAAGAAGGGAGAGGTGTTGCACTTATGTATCTGTTGACCTGGACTTAACCAGACTGCATTTGCAGAGTCTGCCTGTGTCTCATAGCCTGTGAATACTCTAAATAGCGTCTTTCTGGTGGCAACAGGTCAGGTACTGTATTCTTGGCATTTGGGTTTCGATCACGGTGATAGAGAAGATGCTTTCCTTGGTGTGAATTAGTGTGACTGAGCCAGCGATCGGGGCACTGCTGAGAAGGTCTGACCCTGTTCCTGCGTCCTCTCTCCTCTGTGCTCATAAGCACATAAGCACACGCTCCTGATCTGTTTGCCTTGTGCTTGCTCCAGTGCTTCTCCTCCTGTGGAGGTAACAGCCAGGTTATTTTTGGACAGAAGGGTAAACAGGCAGAAAACTAACTCAGCAAAAGAAGTGACTTGTTTCATGCAGGGGCAGTGAGTTGAATCGGCTCAGCGCAGGGCTGTGTGCTACAGAGCTGTCCCAAGAGATGAGGCAGAAGGATGAGAATGGCAGCGGAGGAGGTCTGTGCATCTCCTTTTGGCAGAAGCGCGCCATGGGGTTCTTTCACTTGTATCCCTCTGAATATGCCCATGGTCAGCAGCTTGGGAAGTTTGTACCGATGTTCACTGGTAACTGAGGCTTGGCTGCTGCGTCCCCGGGCTGGGAGGCTGATGCCAGGGGCTTGTGTCCCACATAGGTGAGTTCACTGTAGGTACCTAAATAGGCAAGATGCTTGCTATTGTAATAAGGTTGTCTGATCTTGCAAGATCCCAATCCAAAGGCGATGTGACTTGCAAATCAGGGAGGGGGTGTCATTTGCAAATTCCCTGCAGCACCGCAGGGTGCTGTTGGGACATGAAATGTGACTTGTGTGAACGTATAAAATGAGCCTTCCATCCCCTGCCTCCCATCAACTTGCCTTTCCTCCTTCAATCCCCTGCACTAATCATCTGCTTTCTTACAGGTCTTGATTTCAGCCTGTCATTTTGCATGTAAATTACTGGGTTTGAAGGTGAGTTCAGATCAAGAACAGATGTGAAATTCAAGGCCAGTAGCTGTTCTGGAGTGATCTCACGGTGAACATTTTATTTATTTATTTATTTTTCTTTCTTTTTAGAGTAAGCCTGTTCTGGCTTAGTTGGATCCATTGTCTCAGGCTGAGAGTCTATGTCTGCTCTTCAGAAATAGCTTTTCCAGAGCAGCTGGGTACTGAATGTAAATGCATGCTGGTGTGCAATAGTCAGCACTGCTTACAGTGCCTCTGCAGTCGTGTCTGGCAGATCAACAGCAGCTTTTTGCTAATGGGTCTCATGTCAACACGGGTGATTTAGCAAGGAAGACTGCAGTGCATTAGTTGCTATGACTCAGACTCACTCAGCCTTGTCTTGATCGTTTATTGGTTTATAAATTAAACTGCAGATGCTGCATCCCGTCAGTGCTGGCATGCTGAGGATCCTGAAAGCGCTTCTTCCTGTAGAGTTGTCTCAGAAATCTTCAAATTACTGCCTCGGGAGTCAGGGCATGCAGGTTGTAGCCCCAGCTCTTACAGTGATGACTCCAGCCAAGCTGCCCTGGTGCCTATCAAAATCATGGTGTGACTCTGGTGGTGTATTGAGGTTCTTGTGGCATCTGCCAAAAGCTCACCAGCAGCCTGTGCCTGTCAGTGCGGCATCCTGCATCCTCATTTTCTGAGTGGGGTGCAAGTCGCCCAGGTTTCTTGTAGGCAATAAAATGCTGTCCATGAGATTTTGGTGAGCATCATGGGGAAATAGATGCTGGCTGCTCCTGTGCTGGAAGGATCTGTGCTCCTCCTGTCATGGGGAGGAGCGAGGCAGCAGGGATCGGTGTGGGCCAGATCTGTGCTGGTCCCTGTGTTGGTCTGTGTTACAAAGTTATTTAGAAATGAATGAGATGTTTTTCTAAATTGGTAACTCTCCATTCTCCCAGAGAGCCAAGAGATAGCTGGGCTGTTTTTGTCTCAGGACTCTTCCCCAGAAATGAAGCATCTTCCTCTATGCTGTCCTGGGGTGTTTTATCTCGGGTCCTTTTGAGGTTCAGCCCCAGCCTGCTCAAGGGTGGTGACAGCACTGGTGTGTCTCTCACAGAGGATGCAGCAGAGAAGTTTATCTGTGTGGGGCAACCTGCTTTGGGTAGGTTGTGTTTGAACCACAGGATTTATTTGGAAAGAGCCCAAGGTGCAAGATAATTCAAATCTGAGGCTAAAATATGTCAGATGATGTCCAGCAACCTTGTCTTTCCTATTCACGAAGGGCACACAGGGCAGTTATAGCAGCTCAGCTCCTGCTTGCATGGTTGTATGAAACATTCCCGAATGGGAGAGCAAAGGCAGGAAGGATTTTCTGAAGGTACCGGTATTACAGCAGCTGTGGACATCTCATGTTCAACACTGGTAAAAACACTGATTAGCCCCACAATAGGGACAGTGCTGCTTGATCCCTTGCCTCACCTGCATGGTGTCCAACTTGGGGTGGTTTCCTACCTGCAGGTCATCTCTGTAGCTAGGTGTGAGCTCTCTAAGAAGGCCAGAAGTTCACCTATATATATAGATAGAGATATAGATATAAAATATGGCTTTTCAGTGGTGCAGTGAGCCCTGTTCCTTTCTGTTCTCAGTGGTGGTTGGTTTCTGTGGCGGAGGCAGAGCAGTGGCAGGATGTGTGAAGGGCCATCCAGGATTTCTGGACCCATTCCTCCAGACCCTACACTTTATCCAGACTATTACAAACGCTCCTTCTCAGGTGAGTCCTTGATACTTGTTACGGACGTGCTGTATTGTACTTTGGCATGGCACAGCTTGCCCATTTGACGTTCTTATTCTTTGGCAACCTCAACAGTGTCCGCTTACACTGGTGCAGGTTCTCCTGTTGCCTCATGGATGGTGATCCTAAAGGTGATCTGTACAGCTGATTGAAAGCTGGGAAAGCGTAAGGTAGAGGTGGAGAGGGGGTCTTCAGCATGATTTGTAGGCTGTGGGTGAAGAAAACCACGAGGTAAGATGGTTTCCTGGTAATCTCTTTTTTTTTCTCTGTAGCTCGAGGGAGGCTGGAAGGGAATGCTCAGAAGCTGGATTTTACTTCTGGCCCCCTGGACCCAGTTCCCAAATCATACTCTGCTTTGGGCAGTACCCGCCAGGTCCAGCCAGCCCCTCGCATTCGCTCCAGTGGAAAGGACTTCCTGGAGAAGGGACAGAAGGGGACACTCAGTCTCTTACTGCAGCTCGAAGGGATCTCCCTTGACGGGGGGCTGCCAGTCAAGAGTAAGTACAGCTGAGTTGCTGCTGGCCTGAGTTGCATTTGGGGCCAGGGATGAAGCATCAGGGATTTGGGTGGACTCCTCGGCTCTGCTGCCTGAGTAGCGCTTGAGCTTCGCAGGGCCGGTTGCCCCATCTCCTGCGTTTGGCCTAGCAGTGGTGCCCCCAGGCCATCACTGGTGCTGCTGTGGCCACCCTGACTCCAGTTTGGCCCAGGTCTGCAGTGGGAGGAGGGACTGTAAAAAAGATGCTGTTTAGTTTGGACTTGAGGAACTAGTCATGGATGAGAAACTATTGAGAGATGCTGGAAAGAAATCAAGACCTTCTAGTTTGCTGCCTCTGAATATAACTAGTATCTTTACGGTCAAACTTAAAGATGAATCAAGTGAAATCTTAATTTTTAGAGGATGTTTAGCCTGGGGAATTCCTTGTTAGTGAAGTGAAGCAGGATTTGGGAAGACTGTCTGTATATATGGATGCTGAGAACATCTTTGTGAAAGACGTTTCTTCTCCAGTGAGGTTACCTAGAGTATATTCAGAGGTCCAGGAAGGAGAAAAGGCTGAGCACTGCGTGTCATTTGATTTACTCTATGTGCTGGCATTGCCCCTAGCCCTGCCTGGTGCCAGTGTGCTGGATGCCAGCTGGTGGCTGCCACAACTGCTGTGCCAAAGCAGGAGGGGAAGGGAAGAGGGTCTGGTTGTGTAAACTGAGATCTTCCCTGTCTTGGGAGCTCAAGGAAGGATCATTTTTGATTCAAAACCAAAAAATACAATCCATAGTCTTGATTATGTCCCATTGAATGTGGGACAATGGCTGACCCTGAAACCAGGAACAGCGCAGGTTGAAGGCTCCGCAGCTGCCATTAACCAGCCCTCTCTTCGCTTCAGAAATGCCACGGGATGCTGAAGTGGGAATTGACTTTGCTCTCAAGAGGATGCTGGCGTGTCCAAAATGAGACAAGTGAGCCATGTTCTCTCAGAACAAGGGAACACCAGTGATGTGCCCAGGCCTGTGCTGATGCTTATCTGGGCACTGTGGGGTCAATCCAGGAGCATGTGTCTAACATGGGAAAAATGCAGATTGTCTAGTCTGCAGGAGGGGGGAGAGCTTGCTGTTTCTGTGAGCAGCTGGACCAGCTTTGAGATGGAGCTGTGGGCTCTGGTGCCAGTGCTCCAAGAGCCTGTGTCCTTTGGCAGTGTCCGAGGAGTGAAGGTGGTGTCTCCCCTTGC